CACATTCTCTCATTTTGTTTTTCCTTTTACAGTACAGCTGAAATGTCTTCTTGATAAACAGTTTGTAAACATGGTAATCAAACGGACTCATTTGTTCAGAAGGCTGTTGGTGCAGTCTTCTCGCCTCATCTTTGGCGTGTCCAGTCAAGGGGGACTAGGGCAAGAGGGTCAAAGGTCAAATAAGAAACACAAGCAGGCCAAATGCCAATTCTCTGAACAAACCTCCTCTCCTTCAATAGTAAATGAGAAATGATTGGAGAAACTGTTCAGCTTTGCATTGAGGAGTGCCTGTTGTGGGTTTGGAGGGCAGAGAGGGTGTTCATGAGAATTGGTATAGAAACTTCTGCTGGGTCATGGTAAGTTCTCCATATCCCATCTTGGCCAAATCTTTCACACAACTAGTTAACACACTCAAACATGCTTAAATTTGCTGCAACGGCAAACAAATCCAACTGCACACAACAAAAAAGTCACTCCATGACTCTGTTCCAAAACCAAGTGAGCAGTCTAGAGTTTAGTGTTAGCACAGAGAGCATAAAAATATTTACACAAACAAAATACACATGCAAATACTGGATAAAAAAAGCATTTTCAATTTGATTTAACGGGTTTTATTGATACATTTTGATAAATTGAAATTGATCATTAATACTTCTAGCATTTTATTTAAAAATTTTTATAGATTATTTTAGACATATACTACTGTTCAAAGTTCTAGGGTCAGCAAGATTTTTTTTTTAAGGAGATTAATACTTTTATTTTACAAGAAAGCATTACATTGACAAAAGTGACCATCAAGTCATTTATTTATGTCTGAAGAATCATGTGACATTGAAGACTGGAGTAACGGCTGCTGAAAATTCATCGTTGCCATCAGAGGAATACATTACACTTTAAAATATATTCAAACAAAAACAAAGTTATTTTAAATTGTATCTATATTTCACAATATTACGGTTTTTACTGTATTTCTGACTAAATAAACGCAGCTTCGTTGAGCATAAGAGACTTCTTTCAAATAGATTTAAAAATCTTACTGACCCCAAACTGATAAATGTCTGATATTAAAATTCTATTTTGTTTCAATAAATATGCTACAAGTGAATTTAGACATCACAACATAATAATGTACTGTATAAAAATGGATAACATTTAGCATTTGATAACATTTATGTTATCACATTACTAACTGTAAGTATTACCTTAGTGTGTATTATACATCAGCAAATAATCTAAATGCTGCCAAAGTGGGTGGATTAGGAGGTTTTGGAACAGAGCCCCTATGTAAGCAGTTACCCTGTTTCAACCCTACACATGCTCCTCAGAAATTAAACGTATGTTCATAATCTACGTCATCCACGTCATCCAGAGCCCAGTGCCAGTCCTGAAGCTCCGAATCCAGAGGCCTGCAGGTGGAGGAGAAAGCATTCAGCCAAGCCTTCACCAACCTCGTCTCAGTAAGGTCTGGAGGTAGTTCGCTAAGGTGAAGCTACACCTTGGCACCTAAGAGGTAATTACTATAACAGAGCTAAACCTTAAAAATAAGATCGGCCACTGCTTAATGTCTGCTGAAGCTTTAAAGGCCGCACATCTGTATGCATCTTGACTTTGGTGCTAAATGTGCAATCAATTTGAAGATACAGAGCTCTTTGTGAGAAGTTTTAAATCTTTTGACACATACTTTTAGTATTTAGCCTTTAAATTCAGTGTTATTAGTCACA